CTGGGTATATTGAAAAGGGGTGACCCTCTGGGCAGTCCTTATGGGCATTGCCGCTCCTGATGCATTACAAAATGATATAAAATTAAATGCAGAAAGTTCACAGCAAAAATCTGGAGGTCTGAGAAGAAATCCTGAAATGGGAATTAGGGCACAGCCAAAAAGCAGTACTGCTTTCATTTGAAAATGTTTCTTTTTAGCTTGGTGGGTTGGTTTTTGGTGGTTTTTTTTTGTTTTGTTTTGCTTTTTTTTCCTTTGGTTTGTTTGGTATTTTTCTTCTCTGTTTTTTTTTTTTTTCTTTTCCTTTTTTTGTTTTGTTTTGTTTTGTTTTGTTTTCCAGCTTGATTCTGGCATTTCCAGAAGTGTGGAAATCCAAAATTCCTGCCAGATTTCATATTTCCTGGACCTACCCGCACTGCTTTTCTAAACTCCTTCTCTGGGCAGCCGAGGCCGGTGGGTGCCGAGGGTAGCCCCATCCCCACTGTGTCCTTACTATGTGCGGCCTTGTGGATGAGCAGCTGCAGGAAAAATCCTGCCTGAATCTGGCTGCTGGTCTGGCAGAGCAGCAACCCACTGCTGACCTGGATCTGTGGGGAACATCCCTGCACACAGCTCCCGAAAGGGGGGAGCTGACCTGCCCTCCAGGCAGGCTGCTCCTCCCTCTGAGCCCTACCCGTTGGCCTCATGTCTTGGGGAATAAATGGCTATTTTTCATTCCTTAAAGATAAATACTGTCCCAGGGATCAGGAGGCTGAAAGCAAAGCTTCTCCTCCTGTCCTCTTGCCATATTCCAAGGCCAGTAAGACTTGACTTTGTGTCTCAGCTTTGCCTCCTGATTTGGAAAGGTCACAGCTGCCTATTCAGCTGGCCTCTGCATTAAATGGCGGGACACAAACAGCTGACCCACCCTGGCCCCACCTGCCTCTTCCAAGTTTTGCCCCAGATTACAAGAAATGATTGCCACTGGCTGTTGTTCCCCTCCTCTCAGGAAGCCTTTTGCTGCCTCTCTTCCCATGCGGATAACCCTCCCTGTGTCATTCCCCCATGAAGAGGCGCTGGGGCTGTGGGGCTGCTGTGGGCTGTGCAGACCTGCTTGGAGTTGTGGAGCTGAGCCTGCTGGTCTTTGGGTAGTGGGGAGCAGCCAAGCTGTGCTGGTAAGAGTTTAATTATCGATGCAAAAGGCATTGTTGCATGGGGGGCGGGGGGGGGGAGCCTTGCTGTGAATCTTGGGAGGCCTTTGAAGTTGTGATGGAGAGGAACTGAAGCCCAAGGGAACAGGGCTGCTCCCAGTGACCCTTCCTCCCCACGCCTGCGCTACAAAGCCCCTGCCTAAGAGGGAGATGGTGGAGTAATTAGAGGGAGGACCACAGTGGGTTAACAATTAGTGAGGGTGCTCAGAGCCCTCTTTGGTCCCTCACTGTTTTTCCAGAGGCTGGGACTCAGCACATCCACTATGTGTGTCACACATCCACTGTGTGTCACAACAGACTTGTTCTACCACCCCACCATGAACACGGGGTGGGCTGAGGATGCACAAGCTCCCCTAGATACCACAAGCCCATTCCTGAGCCCAGGATGCTTGGATGTGAGATTCTGATGTGCTCCCACATCTGTTTGTAGGGATGCAATACATCCCTGCAGGAGCTGTGGCCAGCAGTGAAAATGTTGGGAAGGGTATCTAAGCACTCACTCTTTATACGTGATATAGATATATATGATACACATATAAATATAGATATGGATATAAATATATAGATAATATAGAGATATACATATGTTATAGATACAGATATAGATACAGATACAGATACAGATATAGATATAGATATAAATAGATATAGATACAGATATATGGCACGAGATATATGGTCCCAAGTAAAACTCACATCCTCTGGATACTAGTTCCAGTCTCAGGTCCCTCACTTATCCCAAGCAGGATATAGAATTTGGTTGATATGGGTATGGAAATGGATACAGATATAGATCCAACAGTAGAGATATAGGTATAAATACAATATATACATACATCATATACTGACTTGCACACTTTGACTCCTGCCTAGTCTGTATCTATGAGGCTGCAATGTCCACTACTCATGCACCATTGCACGATGCAACTTTATGCAGCATGAGGGTCTGCCCTACGTGAGGCTCTGTCTGCAGACCCCAGTTGTGCTGGGAAACGACCTGCTCTCTCCTAGGTGCTTACATTTGAATGGGCAATCAGACTTGACAGCTTTTCCACCAGGGCGAGAATTTCCCCTGACACCTCCTGGTGTTTTGGCTCAATACGCCGAGGCAAGGCCAAGGCACAGAATAGGGAAATGACAAAATGGTGCTGAGGAAAACAAAATGGAGCTCACGGTTTGAGACTGATACGTGCAGACAGTCCATAGCATCAAAGAGAATTGCCCAGCTGTAGGAGAGAGGTCTCCCAAACCAGCACATTTTCTGAAAAAATGTTTGAGCTGAAAGGGGTCCTTTGTGGTGGTCTTGCTCACTCTGCGCCTTCGAAGGCGGGCGCTGAGCATCACCCCCGAGAGGCAGCGCGGCCTCACTGCACAGGGCTGAGCAGGCACTGGCCACAGCAGGGGTGGCAGCTTCCCTTGGAGCTGGGCTGTAACCTGGGCTGTAACCAGCCGGGTTTTGGGAGAGTGTTGGTGTCCCCATATAGGAGCATGTCACAGTGCTGCTGGATGGACACTGGTATCCACAGGGGGTGTGCTATTCATGAGTTAACAGGAGCTCTAGGACACACAGTGCCTTTGTGTTTGTGCAGTTTGCTATGTGGGCTTAAAATGCAGGGCTCTGTGCACTTGGCTGAAGTGAGGGAGTAGAAGAAACTTATCCCTCTTCCTGCAAAGGGGAATCTGACGATGGGTGGGATGCAAGCTGACATAGGTTGTCTGGGAACCAAAGCAACTGGAAGGAGAAGACTCCTTCAGGTCATGACAACATCTCTGTGAGACTGGGTGATGACCACATGGTCAGGGTGGTGGGATGGGGTGTAGCAAGCTGGCTCCAGGTCCCACACACTGTTGGCAGACAAGTCTGGGGTACACCCCACTATATGCTCTCAGCATTGTTCCTCATAATGCGATGATCCCGCTGGACCCCAGTTCATGCAGGCTCCTCATCCTGCTTGCAGAGCAGTGGGAGGCAGCCACATCCATTGCTGAGCATCCCAGCGTGGGAAAGAGGGTGCAGAGACCACAGTGGGGGGGAGAGAGGGTCTGCAAAAGCTGTCTCCTCCCTGCAACCTGCCTGCTGAGGGTCACCAGGACTGTGGTCCTGCACTGCCAACAGGGAAACTCCCAAGCCTGGGCTCCTGCTGGGTGAATTACCCAGGGAAAATAGGCAGAAAATCTTCAGATTAACAATAACAAATAAAAATGGATTTGAGATCTCTGAGGTAATTACTCTGTGCTGAGGGCAAGGGGCCTCTTTAGCAGTGGGAGCAGTGCTGCGCAGGGAGTGGAGGGGCTTGGCCTGCTGTTGGGCCAATGGAACCACACAAGAAACCCTGGAAATTCTTTCAAATTGTTCTGCTAACATTAATAAATGCCTCAAAAGCTCCTAATCTGCTCTGTCAGGAGCATGACGTCTGGGTGTTTCACAGCCAGCTCACGTCTCTGCTCCTCTCTCCTCCCCTCTCCTTCCCTGCCTGGTAATAGTAAATGAAAGTGGCACCCGTTCCTCAGGCTACAGAGAGCAGCCTCATGCTGAGCCCAGGCTCTGCAGGGACTGGAGCCACTGTCCTGATATGCCCTGTCCCTGCTGTGACAAGCTGGTCCTGGCAACAAGACCACCATCCCTCCTGAGCCCAGGGACCAGCCCAGCCCTGTTGCTGCAGAGGGATGCTGTGACAAGGTGCCTCCAGGTCCAGTTTGGTGCTCCTCAAGGGTGAGGAAAGGCAGCCAGCAAGGATGAAGCTTCCTGCGGCATTGACCTCACTGGGTGGCTTCAGAATAAAGGGAGTGGGGAAAGCTGGAGGCACTGGGGGTCCCTGTGGGAGTCTGGTGCTCTTGGGGGGGTGTTGAGGCATCAGGGTCCTGGTGCCCACTGCACCAAGGGTCAAGGCACCTTGCTGGCAGCCTCCCCCAAGCCTCCATCCCTCTGGGTCTGCACCATGGAGCTGGGGCTGGGGCTCCTTCCCCACGTGCTGAGCACCTCGAGCTTATCAGGCAAGGCAAGGCTCTCCTCTGCTTGATGCTGTGGGATCTGAGCATGGGGCTCAGATGGCTCAGAGGCAGCAGTTCCATGGCATTCTGCTTTCCTCCACTGCTGCCACTGCACAGGTTTCCACAGGAAGCTTCTGAGCACATTGGAAGGCATCCTCACCTCTCCTACCATGCAATCTGCTCCCCTCTTCCTGCAGTTTGCCTCTGTCTCCTCTTTAAGTTGGGCTCCTGGTGATGGCAGGGATTTGGAGGGGTTGGCTTTGATGGACTTCTCCAGTGGGGTGTCAGCCAGGACCATGGGGAGTCTCTTTGTGCTGGAGCTGGGCACTGCAGCGTGCAATTACAGCAGCTGCTGGAGTGCAGACTTCAAACCAGTGATGCTGAGAGGGAGCTGAGCCTAAAGGGCTTCCAGAGGAGAAGTGTCCAGCTGAGAAATGATGCTCCAGTTGCATCAGTCTTGGCCCACGGTGGGACTGGTAGACAACCTGATGCTGGGAGTTTGTTTCCACAACCTTCCTTGCTTTGCATTCCCTCCAACCTGCTCTTTGCAGCTTCCTCCCCCCTCAAAGGTCACGCTGCTCTCAGTGCTGGGGCCAGGACTCAACTCTATCCTGAACCACCAGCTCTGGGGAGCATCCCTTATTGCCATCCCCAAACTCCATACCTGCCTCATATCCAGCCAGGCAGTCCCTGAAGAAAGATTGATGGATGGGGGGCATTTTCAAGGAAATGGCAAGTGAAGAGGGCTTCTTCATGGTGGCTCTGTTCCTTAGGGATGGGGACAAAGCTTTCTAACACAGCTTTTGCTCCTGTATTTTCCAGTGAACTTGCTAGACACGTCAACAATCCTGGGAGACTGGGGCTGGATGACTTATCCCTCACATGGGGTAAGTATGAGGTGACTGTTGGCAGAGGGGGACCCCAGTGGGATGGGTCACCATGTGTCACTGGGGCAGGGGTCAGGGGATGAGTAGGGAATGGACATCTCAGCCCCAAGTCAGTGCTGATGAGGCAAACAGACCATGTCTGTTGGGAAAATGCCAGCCTGATAGACTGGCAGAGGGATACAGCTGTTTTGAAAATGCCATTTAACCCTCCATGTCCCCTGGTAAGGACCAGGCTGTCACCAGGTCCTGAACTCTGAAGGGACTCAAGAGCTGGGACATGCTAAGTGTCTCATTCCTCACTGCACTGGGTGAGCATCAGGGGGAACAGCCCCAAATGACCAGGAAGCTCCCAACCACCTGGACTCCAAGGAATTTCTGTGAGCACTGGGAACAAGGGGCAGGGGAGCCTCCCCTGTGGATTGCATCTTACAGGAATGGGAGTGCAGACTCACAGCCCTGTGGCATGTCCAGGAGGGATGGTGGCATGGTGACCCCCACGTGAGCCTGCCATCTCCACCAGCTGGATCCTTTCCACACTCTCCCTTCACTTGCATTTCCATGCCCAGGTTTTCCTGACTTTAGCTTTCTGGAAATAGTAAGTTTCAGATGTCAGGGTGACCTGGCTGGAAGGATTTTGCTCATTCATTTAGTGAACAGAAACAATCCCATAAATACCCACAGGACCAACTGCAAGGCACAGTGGGGCTTTCTGCAGGCACAAAACGTGCAAAATTGGGGTGCCTACCTGGCTGTTGCTGCTGTGTTGATTTTTCATGTCCATTCTTTTTATCCTCTCTCTGAACTAAATGGTCCTAATCTTTTCAATTCCACCTCCCACAGAAATCTTCCCAGGTCTCTAATAATTTTCATTGATCTGTTGCTTGAGACTTTCAGTCCCCGCACTGCTTGAGCAGGAGTGATCAGAACAGTGAATTCATAATAATACCAATGATCAGATTTCTATCAGACTTTATCATACATGTAAATATATTAAATTGTTAACTCAAGTCTAATTTTAGCAGTTAGTTGTTGCAATGATGAGTATCCTGGGAATGTAAGAGATTGAGAGGTACAAGGTCAGAGGGGATTGTGGAACTAACGTGATGTGATCTCCTGCATAAATACGGGCCATCAGACCTGTCAATTCATTCAGCTCTCAAAGCAGCCCAGCTTTGAGGAAAAAACATCCTTGGCTGCAAAATTGCTGGTGATGGTAAATCCTCCAGGTCCTGTGGCGATGCTGTTAACGCGCCCCTGTTAAAAGCGATCGCTCCGAGGGTTTGCCTGCCTCTGGTCTGCAGCCAGGGACCTTCCTCTGCCTCTGCCTGGGTGAGGCAGATGCTGTCCTCCTCATGGCTGCCCTTGGCTGTCACTGCTGTCCTGTCACTAATCAGCTGTCATCTCATCCCAGCCCTGCTGCCAGATTGTGGCATCCTGGAGGAGCCTGACACACATTCAGGGCTTCCTCTGCTCTCCTGCAAGGGAGAATGTTTTTGGGATTTTCAGGGAGACAGGGCTGTTTTCCATTGTTCACATCTGTCCTTAACCCCTCCCCAGGCAATTCCTCCCCACAGTCAGACCACCTGCTGCTTGCAGACTGCCCAAGATTATCCTTCTGGGTGTCCCTGTGCCCAGGCCCTTGGTCCCTGTCAGGAGTGCAGGTGGAATCCATTGCATCCCTGAGGTGACTTGGGTGAGGATGAATCCACCTGGGCAGGCTGTGCTGGGCAGATCCTTGCACTCCCAAAGCAGACAAAAGGATTGAGCCTACAGGAGCCTCATTCTCAGCACACCAGGGACTTCCTTGGCCAGCTAAGGTGCAGTATCCTGTACTGGACATTGACAAATCCAGAGCCCCACCCCATTTGGACTGTCAGCTGTGACTGCAAGGTGACCACAGGGGCTGGGGCTGAGTCTCAGGGCTCTCTACAGCAGATGTCCAGCAGTCCTTCACCAGCAGCTCTTGAACACTACTACATCTGAGTTCTCCATCTTATTGGTGATGTTTATTAACAATAAATAATAATATAATGAATAATCTATATAATAAATTAAATAATATATAATAAATTAAAGAGTAAGTAAATTTTAAAAAGAGTAAATAAATATAACAAAGAATAAAACAAAATTATAATACTGGATGCCAAAAAAGTAAAAGAAAACCAAAAAGGCTCACAACATTAAATGCTGTATACTACCCAACATCAGAGCCACCTCTTGGCCATGCTGCTGAGTCCTACAGGACCTTAGTCAGGCGTGGGGTAACTCCACTGTGCACTTACCCTGTGCTTTTGCCAAATTTTGGCCCTATTACCAACAGGATGACCACATACCTGTGTGGAAACTGTCTTGAACACCCTCAACTTTTCATATATTTTTCCAGCTGGATGTTTTAATGGCTCCTCTGAACACTGGTCTGGACCATGGTTCTTCCTCCATGGGCCATTGCATCACTAATCTGGAAAGTACATCTCACTCCTTTCCCTCCCTGCTGGTCCTTCACCTCCAGGCCCTTTCTGAGTAGGAAATTTGCTCTGGGATCTGTTTGCTGTCACCAGGAGCTGCATTAGGGTGCTGGTGTCTCAGGGAGGCTGGGGTAGAATCCTTGCTGGCAGTGCCAATGCTCTGGCTCTGAGCAGATGCCTCTCAAGCAGCCTCCACAGTGCAGTTCAGGCTTAGGTGGGAGAGATCTGGTGTGATCCCTGCACAAAGAAAGGAACTCCCTTTGCTGGTCACCATCTGTGCCCAGTGCTTTGGGTGTCCCTGGGGCTGTCCCTGCCCCTGCCCCATGCTATAGCTTTGGGCTGGGGTTGTATAGAGGCATTGTACTGTGAAGCCAGATTTTCATGGAGGTCGTTTATTTTTGCTGCCATTTCCTTAATTCAGATACTCTAGCTGAAAGATTGGTGGCAGTGGCCCCCCATTCCTGCTACCTCCCAGCTGTCCTGCCTGGGCCACAGTGCAGGATTTCCCCACAGCCTGTCAGCTCCATCCGTGGGCAGACACAGACAGCATCCTCCTGCCAAGGGTCCAGCACTGCTGGCTGAAGTCATGTTTGTTTTGCTTTACCCACATCTCCATTCCCCCCAGGGCCACCACATGGGTGACAGACAGTAGGAGGTGGGTAGCTCTGCCTGGGTCTTTTCATGGCACTAAGCAGCACAGAGCCTTGGTCCCCAGCCTGAGGAGCTTCTGAAGAGGACTTGTGTCTGCTAGTTCACTGCCTAGTGCCCTATGGCTCGCCCTGTGGCACTGCAGGTCCTGTCACACCTGGGGATCCAGAGGAAAGGCAGCAGCTTCAGAGGCTTCATCCTCTGACTGGGAGATCCCAGAGCTACCTGCACAGCCAAGGCAAAACTGGACGGGTGCCACTTCATCACACCTGTGGGCAAGGTGAACTTGCCTCTCTGGAAGGTTACTTCCCTCTCTGGCTTTGCCAGGGCCAGCAAGAGCAGAGGAGCAGGAGCTGGGAGCAATCGGCACAGTGAGGGTCAGCAGTGCCGTGGGCCCTGGGGAATGTCAGGCCATCAGGGAGCCATGCCTGGCCTGTTTTGACATTTTCTCTTGACAGACAATTAACTGAGGGGTAATTGGCTGTAATTGCTGCTCAGGGGTTTAATTGCATCCCCCCCCTCACCTCCACCCCAGAGACACGTGCAGGAAGCAGAAGGGTCACCGGGAGCATCCCTGTCCCGCAGGCTGCGGTTCCTCTCAATTATAACTTCAAAAGGCTCCCGGGAGCTTTGCAGCTCGCTCCTTTCCCAGAACAATTCCCTTTGCATTGAAAATTAAACTCTTATCAGTGTGGTCAACCCCTTCCCTTGCCATGCCTCCTGTATCCCAGTTCTCCCCAGCAAAACGCCCCAGTGCCCCAGTGCCCTTCTCTCCCTTCTCCTTGCTGGGCACGTGACCTGCTGGATCAGAGGGAGCTGATCGGCCCCTTTGCAAATTGCCTTTCTACTGACTAATTAAAACACTGATGAGATAAGTCAACATATTATTAATAATTATTGTATCGTCTACTTTGATTTACAAAGTCAAACAGGAAATTATTTTGTTCAGACACAGGGCATCTAAGGAGCTTGAATGATGCCTTGCAAAAGGTAATTAGAATGGGAGCACCTTGAGTGCTGGAGGAAGGCCCCCCATGCTGCCCGTGACCTCCCCATCCACCCCCACCAGCACCTTCTGTGGTGGCCCCACAGTTTCCCTCTTGCAGCAGGGGCTGGGGTCAGCCCAGAGAGCCGCTGGGCATTGCCACCCAGGCAGCTGCCCCATCATCTGTCACAGAGTCATGGACTGTCCTGAGCTGGAAGGGGCCACAAGGGTCATCAAGTCCAACTCCTGGCCCTGTACAATCCCCAGCAATCCCACCTGGCATGCTCCATGTTGGCTTTGCTGATGGGAATCAGGAAAGAACTTCAGAGGGCTTTGGATCTCCCCATCCCTGCCCCTTTTCTCCTCAGAAAGGGGTGTATCCTGAAGCCCCCTGGGCACAAGGGTGTTCCTCCTTCATCCTACAGTACCCAGAGAGAACACTGTCAGAAAGGCACCAGATCTGCTGAAACCCTCAGCTGAAAGCACAGACATGGCCACAGGATGGTCTCCCAGCAGTATTTGTGCATTAAGAATGGGGATTTCAGCCCTGGGACTGAGATATTTGCAGAGCTGTCCCTACACACCAGGGGACGTTTTTTACCTGGGTCTGATCCTGAAGCCAACAGCCAGTTCATGGCTGGGATGAGCCTCATCTGTCATGAAGCAGGGTCTCCCTTTGCCCCAAGCTCACTCTGTAAAATCCCATCCCCAATGTGATCTGTGCTGTGTCCTTGCTATTCCAGCCCCCTTCAGGTTCATCTCTTCTTCTCAGACCACCAAGAGATATTGGGGCTCTCCCATGTGCCTAGGCCATGTCTCTGCTCTCCTTCACTTTGATGTCCCTGTTGTATTTCTTGGGTTTCTCTTCCAAGCTGGAGCCTCTACCTGGGTCCAGAAGTACCAGCAAGTTACAGCTCAAGCTGTGGTGAAATTAATTTTCTTTGAGGAAAAAAAAAGTGTAGGAAAGGAACATTGGAAAATAAAGATTTAGACTGGTAATTGAGATAAAAGCTCATCTCCCAGTGCTTGTTCAGTAAATCCTGGGTTATTGCTAATTCCCCAGATGCTGGTCACTACCAGTAGTTAATCACCTGCAGTGAAGCTCAGGGTAGTTAACTGCCTGAAAAATCCCTCCTTAGGCACAGCAGTGACTGATTTCATGGGGATTATCTCCATTAAGTCCTCCCATCTAATGATTTATAGCTTCAATAACAGCCTTCTCTTTTTTTCCTCTCCCAGTGACAATGGTGTGAGAAGGTGCCATGGCGTGCTGGGAAGGAAAGTGCTGGATGTCTCAGTGGCCACAAAAGCTCTTCTATGCCAGGCAGACCTGGCATCCCTCCTGGAAGCTGTCCCAGGGCTGGGGACACTCGTTCCTTTGCACTCTAAGGATGGAGGGAGGCTGAGCTGCTGCCAGGGGGACACAGTCTCTCCTCTGCTCCTCCTCCTTCTCCTCTGCTGTGCCACACAGGCCCTGGGAGACTTATAAGGCCTTACTCAGCTGCCCAGATATCTGGTGTTTGCATCTCTTGCCTTTCATAATCTGGCAAATATTTTATAACTGGTGTTGACTTTAATTTAAACTATTAGGCAAACTCCTGAATGCAGATGCAATCACATCCTCCCCAGCGCGTGCGCTCACCACGTTAATTATGATGTCCTCATTTCCATCTCGCTGGGGGATCTTATCACACTGCTGGGGCCCAGTTGATCTTTGGTTCAGAAAACCACCTCAGCCCATGAACTGAGAGCCAGCAGTGCCTGGGGCGTGCAAGCTGCCTGCATTCCTGAACCAGTGGTACCCAGTGTCACAGAGGTCCCCTCCTGCCCACAGAGCCTGGAACTAAGGTGAAACAGAAAAACCCCTCCAGTAATGGGGATTCCTGAAGCAGGTCCTTTCATCTCCCTTCTGGTACCTAAAAGGGCCTACAGGAAGGTTGGAGAGGGACTTCTTGCAAGGTTAAGCAGTAATAGAATAAGGGATAGTGGCTTTAAGATGAGGGAGGGTATGTTTGGATTGGATATTGGGAAAAAATTCTTCCCTGTGAGGGTGGTCAGGCCCTAGCACAGGGTGCCCAGGCTGCCCCATCCCTGGAAGTGTCCAAGGCCAGGCTGGGCAGGGCTTGGAGCAGCCTGGGATGGTGGAAGGTGTCCCTGCCCATGGCAGGGGGTTGGAACAAGATGGTCACTTCCAATCCAAATAATTTCTTGGATTCTGTGATCCCAAAGGCCCTGAAACTCCTGGGACCTGGCAGGGCCTATGGGACCTTGGTTGACCTGTGACACGCTGGGAAGATGAATCTGTGGCACGTGAGCCATGAGCTCAGGTAGCCTGCCTGCCCCATTCTTAGTGCACTTTCCCTGCAGGCCAAGTGTGGCATTTTGGGCTGGTCTCAGACTGGGATCCCAAGGGACCGTGGGACAGAACTGACAGTGCAGATGCTGTGCAAAACAGCACTAAGTTTGAAAGAGTGATGGTGCATATGCGAACTCTCCAAATTCACCTCAGAGGGTGGAGGTGTGGCTGATACTGACTGTTGCTGGTACTTAGAGATGGGCATTTATCTCCTGCTCTGTCAACAGGGAGGATGCTGCCAGCTCTGGGACTGCCACATGGGGACTGCCATGTGGGGACGTGGCAGTAGTAAGCTCCATCTCCTCTGCCAGATTTAGGAGAGAATGTCTGGAGACCAAAAACAACCAGATGAGCTGGATCCAAAGCATTTTGGTGCTCACAATCACCTCATCTTTCCCTTCCCCGACCCTCATAGAGAGCCCTGCCCGCCCAGGCAGTGCCGAGGGGAGATGGCTGTGCATTGTGGGGACATCCCTGCTCACCCCCACAGCTCTGCCCTCACACTGTGTGGCTCCTCCCATGCACAGCTCTGCTTCCCTTCCCCTGGGAAACTCAGCAGGGAAAAGACAGGAAACAGATGTTGTGTTAATTTGTGCTCAATTAATTTCGACAGCAGCTTCCACCCCCTCGGAAGCACCGCAGCAGCCTGAGCGCCAGTGGGTGTGGGACTGGGGACTGCTCTGCTCTGCAGCACTGCCAGCGGCTGGCACACACTGCCAGTACCCCTGTGCCCCCCGGCCAAGCAGCAGGGCAGGCTCCTGGGTGTCACAGCACCTTTGACAGGCTTGTCCCTGGGCTTGGGACCCTGAGGGCTGCTGCCCTCATCCCTCTGGCCAAGCAGACCTGTAGCCTGGCCCCTTTCCATGTTGTCCACCTGAGTACTGGAGTGCAGGGCATGTTCCCAGTGATCCCAGGACAAACCAGGGCATTTCTGGGAATTCAGAACACAATTTTTTTAAATGCATCACAAAACATTTTTCTTCCCTGGGAATGGTTTGATTTTGACCCCCTTTGCCAGCATATTCCCCTTAAAATGAGCTTCCATTGTAGTTTGCACCTGGAGCTGCTGCCTTTTCCAGGTTGCTTTAAGCTCTTTAGGACAGAGAAGCAGAGTTTTCTCCTAAATGCAGGAGAAAACTGGAGATGCTGGAGAAAACTGAAGAGGTACATGACTGGAGTGAGTGTTTTGATCACCCTCACATGAGCAGAAGGCATGATAACATGTCCCCAGAAGTAGCAGGTCAGGGAGGTCAAACAAGGAAGGACATTCCCATCTGAGAGGGGAGAAGGGAGTGACTGTTTTACAGGTATCGCTGATACCTCTTTCCATATCTCTTATGTTCTGGAGGTGTGCTGCCCTCTCCTAGCCCTCTCCCTGCACTGCTGGCAGCCACCCAGCGAGGCTGGCAGGTGCAGGTCCCAGGGATCTGCATCCTTGTCAGCTCCCACATCACCGGGGTGAAGGCTGCAGGCTCACCTCCTTTGAGCAGAGCATCCTTCTCTTGGGACTGCTGGTTTGTGTCTAATGAAACAAAGTCACCACTTGCATAAGAAAACACCATTTTTGCCCTGTCAGAGCAAGCCTAGAGGTTTATTTTAAAGTACTTAAAATGCTGCCTAAAAGATTTGTTTTCCTGCTCTGTGCAGCATGGCTGGGGATTTACCTGGCTCCCCCAGGTAAATCCCTGATTTACCTGGGACAGCTGGGTACACACGGGTGCCAAGATGGGGGGCTGCTCCCTGCCAGCTTCCAGGCAGAGCCAGGACCCCAGGAAGGTGTTGGAGGAGGATGCTGAGGCTGGGGGCAGAAAGGTGGTGATCATTTGGAAGGCAAAGGAGCAGGAGTGCCAGAGCCTTCCCCAGTTTCTGCAGCATTGCATCTGAGGCTGTCCCTTACAGCTAGATTGGGCACGGGGGTGGGACTTCAAAGCCTGTTTCTAAGTTTGGGGAAAAACCAGATGGTTTGAAGTTCTCCTCTGCTCCTCTTTCTCCTCCCTTTCTCTCCTAAGAATTCAGGGGTCCCAGATGCGTCCATGGGGGTATGATTGGAGTACCTGGTTTGAGCAGAAATGTGAGCTAAAGAGGTGGTGAGAAGCCCCCAGTGCAGCAAAAGTCTGTGTGTCCTGGTGAGGCATTTGGTGAGAGTGGAGAGGGAGATGCCAGGCAAGACTGAGCCCCCAGAAGCGTCATGTAGCTCCCAACAGCTAAGTTCTACTTGTTCCTCACCCATGGAACTCATATCCAAAATATCACTACTTCTGCTCACTTCCTATCACTTAAACCCATTTCGCTCCCTCCCTTGTGTGACGCCCTGTCCCTCCGAACTCATCCAGACCACCTTCCATTGCAATCCTGCTTGCTGCAACCTACTTTTGCCAGTATCTCTTCCCCAGGTTTGCCCTGCAGCCACAAGTATATGGAATTTTCACCCCTGAGCTGTCAAGCCATGAACATTCTGGTTCCCAGAGCCAGCCCTGATCCAGCCTCTCAGCTGGGTTGGGCACTGTGGGCTCACACTGAGGAGCCACACTGGCACCACCTTGCAGGGAAGAAGAGACCTCTGAGCCCCCATGAGTCCACATTTCTTGCTGACAGTCCTGTGCTCAGTACATGCTTCCCCTTCACCCTCTGGTATCCACCCAGAAACTCCTTCTCCAGATGGAAAGCACCCAGTTTAGTTTGTGCATGGGCAGTGCATGAGCCAGTGGAGATCCAGGTGAGCACAAGGCAGGTGGTTCCTGCTGCTGCTGGAAATGACCACCCAAATTAGGGCAGCTAATGAGTGTTCCTCATTTCCCTTTGCTCTGTGGCAGCAGTGAGCTCCCATCCAGACACAGGAGCAGAGATGGCACACATCCCTGCATGCTCCCTGCTCCCTCAGGAGTTGGGAATATCTGGAATGACCCGTTTTCTCTGTCCTGCAGTGGGATTCGATCAATGAAATGGATGAGTTTTTCAGCCCCATCCACACCTACCAGGTCTGTAACGTCATGACCCCCAACCAGAACAACTGGCTCCGGACCAACTGGGTGCAGCGGGACGGGGCGCGGCGGGTGTACGCAGAGATCAAATTCACGCTGAGGGACTGTAACAGCATGCCAGGTGTGCTGGGCACCTGCAAGGAGACCTTCAACCTTTACTACATGGAGTCTGACCGGGACCTGGGCACCAGCACCCGCGAGAGCCAGTTCCTGAAGATCGACACGATCGCAGCAGACGAGAGCTTCACCAACGTGGACCTGGGCGTGCGGCGCCTGAAGCTGAACACGGAGGTGCGGGGCGTGGGGCCGCTGAGCAAGAGGGGCTTCTACCTGGCCTTCCAGGACATCGGGGCCTGCATTGCCATCGTCTCGGTGCGCGTGTACTACAAGAAGTGCCCGGCCACCGTGAGGAACTTGGCGTCCTTCTCCGAGGCTGTGACCGGGGCAGACTCATCCTCCTTGGTGGAAGTGCGGGGAGAGTGCGTGGGCCATTCCGAGGAGAGGGACACCCCCAAAATGTACTGCAGTGCCGAGGGAGAGTGGCTGGTGCCCATTGGGAAGTGTGTGTGCAGTGCTGGCTATGAAGAGCAGCGGGATTCCTGCATGGGTGAGTGCCTGCAGTGCCTGCAAGGGAAGGGGTGGCTGCAAGGGGCTCTTGCCTCTTTGGGGAAGGGCTGAAGACAGAAGCTTGCTCACAGAAACTGGGACAGCCAGTCTCTGTGGAGGCCCAGGGGTGTCCATGCCTTTGCTGGCTGGCTTGATCCCTCCAAAATATGTGGCTGGTGTGACTGACAAACTCCCTGGGAGTTCCTGTGGCTCTGACAGGTCGTGGTGCACAGGGCAGGGCTTTGAGATGGGGACTGGCTGCCATCAGGACAGGGGCTGCTCTGGTTCCATCTTTCTGTACCATGGATCATTGGCCCAGAGATCCCAGCTCAGTGCCCCCAGCAGCTCTGACTGGTGCTGAGATCTCTGGTGTGCTCCAGCAAGGCACTACCTGGCCTCTCCAAAACACCCACTGCTGAAATGGGTTTAAAAGGGAGAAAAGCAAAAAGGAAAACACTGAGCTTTCATGGAACAAGGTCATTGCCTCCATCTCTCACCTCCCAGGGCTGCTGCAGAGCCCCTCATGCAGGGGTGTGGGGAGCCTTCCCAGGGGCCCTCAGTGCCACTGGGCAGCTTTGAGCTGCCAACTGAACAAACTGTGATAAGAAGTGGGGTGACCAGCAGCAGCACAGGGATGTGTGCATACAGAGCACGGGCTCCCCGGGAGAGCCCTCCACACAGATTTGTTTGCTCTCTGTTTCTTCATGGGATGTGTTGAGGGGGAGCAGCACAAATATGAGTGCGGGGCCTTTGTTTGAGTTTCATGGTAACGTCAAGTTAGGGAGGCTTGGCTCAAGGTCAGGACATCCAACACCACACTGGAATGGATCCAGGGGCTGCTGGGACCCACGTTGGCTCCTGCAGGTCTCCAGTTACAGAATGGGAAGGATGGGCAGAATAAATGCTTTTATGTCAAACTCCTTCTGTCTGTGACAGTCGATTTGAAAGTTGTCCTGGGATAGATCTAATAACTCAGAAAAGGTCTTCCATCATGTTAAAGAGTGGGTGCAAGATGTATGTGGGGCCAGGTGTGTGCTACTGCAGGAGAGGGCACTGGCATGGGCCTCCTGGTTGGCTGTGCTAGCCCCACCACTACAAGGAGCTGCAAGTTGGCTCAGACAGACAAAACAGCCCTTCCTCTTGTTCCCCTCCAGCAGTCCTGTACGGCACACTCTGCCCCAGGACATCCCCACCCCAAAGGCAGGAGGCTGAGCAAGGCTGTGGCATTGGTGCTGGGCTCTGCCTGCTTCATTTTCATGTGATTCCTTGGACAGGTTTGCTCTCTCCTGGCAGTGAAGCTATGGCAGCGCCCCTTCTCTGCCCTCCTGTCTGTTTCTGGTGGGATTGCTCCTACCACAGGCATGGCACAGGAGGAAGTGTGGTCCAGCATGTGTCCCCAGGTGGCTCCACAGACAGCTCAGACCCAGCAATGCTCTCTGGTAAAACTCTCCAAGCCTTGTGGCATCAGAAACAGACAGAAATGTCACTGGACTTTCTCTGACATCAGTGTTGTCTCACCCTCCTGCCTTCCCTGTACCATTTTTCTGGCTCCAGCACAGTTTGATGACTCAACATCGAATGAACAGGGGCAGCACCTCCTTTCCTGCATCTCCTTTGGTGGGGCATCAGGACATATATTTACACATGAAGGCAAACAGATGCAAATCTCTGATCTTGTGCCTGATTGGGGCAGAGTTCATTTTTCAGGCTGAAAAGTGCCTTTTGGGGATGATTTATAAGCCCAGCAGATCTGTTGGAGCTGGAAATTAGCCATTTTAATTGTCAGGCGGATAAAAGCAGGATTCCAATGGCTGTCGCCCCAGCAATTTTTCATTCTTGGTCACAGGGATGAGATGGTATAAATCACTCCTTGTGGCCCTAATAATCTTTCTATAAATATCAGGGAAATTCATTTTTTGCTTGGGGAGAGGAGGTGTGGAGGGGGAGAAATTAGAGAAGATACTTTGCCTCTATGGCAGTGTTTAAAATCTGATTCCAAATTAATTTCCTTCTGCCTTTCACAGCCAGACGCCTTATTTGTCAAAGCTAAAGATATTTGAATAGTGGAGGTTTCTTCCTCTCCTCTTTAACATTCATTTTCCTAAGGGCCTGCCAGAGTGATGGAAGACAGTTCAGGAAACCAGACCATAGCCAGGGCTGTTCCCAGCCCTTCAAAGGAGAAGTAAGGCAGTGCCACAGACCTGGGGAGGAAGGGGTGAGGTGGGACATGGTGAAAGATGTATAGGAACATTAGGAACTTCTTTGCCTTTCATCCCCATTACAGAGTTGTAGAATCCCAGACTGGTTTGGGTTGAAAGGAATCTTAAAGCTTATCCTATTCTACCATCTGCCATGGGCAGGGACATCTTCCACTTGAGCAGGTTGCTCCAAGCCCTGTCCAGCCTGGCCTTGCAGGGATGGGGCTTTGCTGTCATCTATCATGTTGGATCCTTCACTGCCCTTTTTTGGGGCAGGGGGATGGTGGCTGGGGTCTCTGACTCCTGCACTCATCCCAGCAGGATCCACATTTTGCCTTGCTTTGATGTCCTGCTGTTTGCAATAAGGATGTGAAGGGCAGTTTCCACGGGATTGAGGGGGCCAGATCTCAGCCCAGGGTCACTGGGATCAGGATTGTCTGAGGATGCCAGCTGGCTTGGCATTGAGTGTGTCACAACCCCCACACACCAGACATTTGTCCCTAAATCTGTGCCTAATGCCTTGGCCAGATTCCTCTCCAGAGAACCCCCTTCTCCAGCTGGGACTGGGCACATGTGCTACAGTACCTTACTGGACAGATATGGGATTTGAGCTAGAATTCCTACATCTGTTGATGACATCCTGGGGTCTGCCAGCTCCTAACATTCCCAACATTTAGCCCCACAGTATCTTGTGCCACAGCCACCACAAGGATAAAACTCCTCCTGGCACAGCACAGCCCACTTGTTTTTCCCTCTGTTTTCAAGGTTCTGAAGGACTTTTCTTCCCTCACCCCCTAACCCACAGCCTCAGACTGCTCTTTGCTCCTTGAAATGCAACAGTCCACACACAACACATTAACATCTCTTACACACTGCAAATAGCAACTGCTCTGCCTAAACAGCAGAATAAGCAAGAGCAGGAGGGAAAGGGATCTGTCCCAGCAATTTAACAGATAAGGAGACAATCAGCATAATTCACCTTATTGATATGCAACTGCTGTGCAGGACACATAGATACCCATTTCAATAAAGTCAGTGCAATTAGAGGGATGGGAAAGGGGAGCCTGGTTGTGCTTCTGTGGGCAGGGAAGGGCACATAATCCACTTCCCCAAAGGCTGAGAGCTGGAGCATTGGTACCCTGTCCTGTGTGTGGATGGATGGAGAGGTGGACATGGAGGGTCAGACAGGTGGGGGCAATGGCTCTTCAACCACATCCCTCCTACCCTCTTTGGGGAGGGCTGTCAGGCTCCCGAGCCACCAAGACCTTGGGTTTTGGTGGTGGTCCTTGGTGGATATACCTTGGTCCTTGGACCATGTAAATCCATGGTCCTTGCATGAGGGTCCCCTTTTTGAGCCAAGTCCAGATTATTTCTTGGGCTGCGTCTCTCACCAGGTATCAGTGAGCAAAACTTCAAGTTGGGCTAAAATCTGTTCAGCTGCTCACAGGTTGTACATGCAGAGGGAGTTTGTTTGCAGCATCAGCAGCAGTGCCATGGCTACAGATCATGGTGCTGCTCTCTGGGAGTTGACACAAACCCATCCAGCATCCAGCCATGGGGGACCCCCAGGAGCACAGAATCTCCCAGGAAGGGTTTTTGTTAATAATCAAGTAGAAAAGAGGGCAGGCCCTCTTTCCTGTTGTCAGAGTGGGTGGATGAGCCTTTGGCAGAAATGCCACTCTCAAAGAGCTTCTTTGTTGAATATCCAGGGCTTTCAGGAGCTATTCAGACATTTCTGTCTGAAGTTTGGAAACAGGCATCTTATCCTCTGGGTATTCTGGTTGCTCTGGCTGCTTTCCCTCCATTCTTGGGACCTTCAGTTTGGCTGTTCCCTTTAGATGGAAAATGGTGATGAGGGAGCAGGAACTGAGCAATTCCTAATTCCTGCTCCAGCAGCCCATTTGTACATGAGGATGGGTGTTTGTAGCCTGAGTGAGAACAGCCACCAAACACAGGTCTGATGTGTGTGGCTGAACAAGGATCTGGCCCTGGGTTAGATTTTACCCAGCTCTGCTTCAGCACGAAAATGGCCTTTTTCCTCTGGGCAAAGGAGAGGGACACTGCCACTGCTGGGACCCTTTCCCCTCCAGCCCCCAAAATGAAGGAGAGGTGGGAACAGACGAAGGACTGCTGAGCTCTCTCGTGCCTCCTGTGGTACACAGCTGGTGGAAATGGATCTGGAGAGTCTGGTTAGCAATCTGGAAGCCAGTTAATTTTTTCCAGTTGGTGGGATTCATGCTGATGAACCAATCAGCAGATTTAATGTACCTTAAAACTTCCTTGTGGGCAACTTTAATCGAGCAATTAAAGCACCACAGCATTGCTAATTAAGAGGAGAAAATACCCAGCTTGGTAATTATGTGCTTGTGAATACAGTTTTGTATCCATGGACATTTATGAAGGAAGTCCCACAGCTGGTGGGGCAAGGGGGGAGCAGAGCTGTGTGAAAGGAGGGGAAACCCTATCCAGCTGCACCCCATGTTCTGTGCTGGGGGCAAAGCCTGGAACAGGGGCAGGGAAAGCCCTGGAAACACCTGAGGAGAAACATGCCAGGAGAAGGCACTGGATGGGGATTGGAGCAGCCTGGTCTACTGGAAGGTGTCCCAGCGATAGGTGGAATGAAATGGGCTTTAAGGTCCCTTCCAATCCAAACCATTTGGTGATTCCATGATTCTATGAGAATATCCTGTTATGGCAGCTCCAAGCAAACATCTTGGAAGATGTTTCAGTTTTCATGGAGTGGATTTCAAGAGGAATTTCTGTGCAAGTCCCAGCACACACGTGGTAGGCCCAAGCCACAGCC